AAGCCTGCTAAAACACCTGTGGGTCCCCTAGATGATCGAGCTATAAAAGGAGCAATCAAGGACGATAAAGCCATTGCGGAGAAACTAAATGATTTCTTTGCTTCAGTCTTCACGGCTGAGGATGTTGGGGAGATTCCTGAATCTGCACCGTCCTTTGTGGGTGATGAATCTGAGGAACTGTCCCGGATTGAAGTGTCATTAGAGGAGGTTTTGGAACAAATAGAAAAACTTAATGTTAACAAATCTCTGGGACCGGATGGCATTCATCCAAGGGTTCTAAAAGAACTTAAATGGGAAATTGCTGAGCTATTATCTGTGGTTTGTAACCTATCCTTTAAATCAGCTTCTGTACCTAATGACTGGAAGGTAGCCAACGTGACACCAATATTTAAAAGGGGCTCTAGAGGCGATCCTGGCAATTACAGACCGGTAAGTCTAACTTCAGTACCGGGCAAATTAGTCGAAACAATAGTAAAGAATAAAATTGTGAAGCATGTAGAAGAACATAATTTGTTGGACAAAAGTCAACATGGTTTCTGTAAAGGGAAATCCTGTCTTACTAATCTATTAGAGTTCTTTGAAGGGGTTAACAAACATGCGGACAAGGGGGATCCAGTAGATATAGTATACTTGGATTTTCAGAAAGCCTTTGACAAGGTCCCTCACCAAAGGCTCTTGTGTAAATTACATGGCCATGGGATAAGAGGGAAGGTCCTTTCTTGGATTGAGAACTGGTTAAAAGACAGGAAACAAAGGGTAGGAATAAATGGTAAATTTTCAGATTGGAGAGGGGTAACTAGTGGTGTACCCCAAGGGTCAGTCCTGGGACCAATCCTTTTCAACTTATTCATAAATGATCTGGAGAAAGGGGTAAGCAGTGAGGTAGTAAAGTTTGCAGATGATACCAAACTGTTTAGGATAGTCAAGACAGAAGCAGACTGTGAGGGACTCCAAGAAGATCTCACCAAACTGAGTGATTGGGCAACAAAATGGCAAATGAAATTTAATGTGGATAAGTGTAAAGTAATGCACATCGGGAAAAATAACCCCAACTATACGTACAGTATGATGGGGGCTAATTTGGCTACGACAAATCAGGAAAGAGATCTTGGAGTTATCGTGGACAGTTCTCTGAAAACTTCCACAGAGAGTGCAGCGTCGGTCAAAAAGGCAAATAGGATGCTAGGAATTATTAGGAAAGGGATAGAAAATAAGACCCAGAATATCTTACTGCCCCTGTATAAAACTATGGTACGCCCACATCTTGAATACTGTGTACAGATGTGGTCTCCTCACTGAAAAAAAGGTATTTTGGCCTTGGAAAGGGTTCAGAAAAGGGCAACTAAAATGATTATGGGTTTGGAACGGGTCCCATATGAGGAGAGGTTAAAGTGACTGGGACTTTTCAGTTTAGAAAAGAGGAGACTGAGGGGGGATATGATAGAGGTCTATAAAATCATGAGTGGTGTGGAGAGGGCTGATAAAGAAAAGTTATTTATTAGTTCCCATAATAGAAGAACTAGAGGACACCAAATGAAATTAATGGTTAGTAGGTTTAAAACGAATAAAAGAAAGTTCTTCTTCACACAGCATGTTGTCAACCTGTGGAACTCCTTGCCAGAGGAGGCTGTGAAGGCTAGGACTATAATCTGGGTACTGACTCTAGTCCTGGCACATGGAGCAGCCACTCGCCACACAGGCCCCGCCCCAGGAGCAGTTGGGCAGCCATGATGTAACCATGGCCATAGCCTCCAGTCTCCCACCACCAAGCTCACCGTATGCTCACGGGTTCTGCTGAGGAGGTGGGCGGGACTAGAATTCTTTGTACACACCAGTGCAGGCATGCAGCCTAGAGAGAACTTAGCGTCACAGTGCAATGACATTTGAGAACTCCTGCTTTAAATCCATTGCCCCAAACACAATGCAACTTTTGAGAAAGATCAGCTGAGTTTTCTTTGGAAGAAGCTACATCTGCATCTGCAGTCTGTTACTGAACCCTGGCTCCCAACGAGGAATGCTTGCAGGATACAGCTAGGTAAAATGTTTTTACCAAAGCTGCTTTTTTGTTGTCTGGGGTAAAAAAATCCAGTCAGTGCCACTGGGGCATTTAGCAAATGCATGTTAGTTTACCAATTTGTATCCCCCCCGCAAAAAAAATCTGAAAGGAAACTTCAGTTTTTGATCCAAACACAACTTTTCTTGTTGGAATTGTGAATTTTATTTTACATTTTTTAAAAGACGTTCAAAACTAAAAAAAAAACAAAACGTTTTCCCCATTTTGAGTTAGACAAATGTTCCATGAAATGATTTTTTCTTCATTTTCAATTTGACCCAAAAATCATCCCCCTACTTGGCAATTTATTGGAAATCACCACAGAAGAAAAAAGTTAGTTATTTGCACAGCTCTACCCAGGAGACCCAGTCACACACTGATTGAATCATGGGTCCCCAGCACCCCAGAGAAGTGCAGCTTTGGCCTGCCATTTGAAAGGAGTGAAAATGGAGGAGTCAAAAGTGGCATCGGAAGGGGCAGGCAGTCCAGGGACTGTTGATAGTCAATCTTCAGTTCAACTTTTTGACCTGGTACAGCAGGAGTGGTACAGACACACTCATGCCTTTCTTGGTGCATGATATATTTTGTAGTCTTACATGGGCTTTCTGCGTCACTCTGTATTGTTAATTTCAAGTTGCTCCTGCTTATTTTTACATTCAGTGAGTTACAGGGGAGCGAATAGCTAACAGAGCTTTTGTAGCCATTTGTTCTTGATCATTCATTATAGACAGAACTAATAGGTTATTCAGACTGCTGGAGTCACAGCCTTTAAGTCCTTCAAGCAAGGTTTTCCACATAAGAACAGAACATGGAAGATAAGAACAGCTATACCGGGTCAGACCAAAGGTCCATTTAGCCCAGTATCCAGTCTTCCAATAGTGGCCAATGCCAGGTGCTCCAGAGGGAATGAACAGAACAGGTAACCATCAAGGCTATGTCGAGACTGCAGGCTTCTTTCGAAAGAGGCTCTTTCGAAAGAGAGCGTCTAGACTGCACGGAGAAATTTCGAAAAAGCGGCTTGCTTTTTCGAAAGAAAGCAGCCAGTGAGTCGCGGATTGAGTCTGGACGCAGGGGAAGTTTTTTCGGGAAAAGGCTACTTTTCCCGAAAAACCCCCTGAGTCTGGACACAGCCCAAGTGATCCATGCCCTCTCACCCATTCCCACCTTCTGACAAACAGAGGCTAGGGACACCATTCCGACCCATCCTAGGTAATAGCCATTTTTAGACCTATCCTCCGTGAATGTATCTATTTCTTTTTTGAACCCTGTTATTATCTTGGCCTCTGGCAAAAAGTTCCACGGGTTGACTGTGTATTGTGTGAAGAAAAACTTCCTTTTGTCTATTTAAATCTGCTACCTATTAATTTCATTTGGTGACCCTTGGTTCTTGTGTTTATGGGAGCAAGTAAATAACATTTCCTCATTTACTTTCTCTATAGCAGTCATGATTTTATAGATCTCTATCATATCCCCCTTAGTCTCTTCTTATCTAAGCTGAAAAGTCCCAATTTTATTAATCTCTCCTCATATGAAAGCCGTTCCAAACCCCTGATCATTTTTGTTGCCCTGATGCCAAGCTTATACAAGGCGACAATGCAAAAGAGACAAGTGATCTGAAGAAACAAGAAACACAAGCCCGACATGACACTCAGAGAAAGTCTTTGGTGATAGAGACAATCCCAGAATGCAAAGCACCATCCAGAAGCCAACCTTTAAAGTTAGGGGAATGACTCCACAGAAAGTTAGTTTGCTAAACTTGGCGAAAGGTGACTGGGAGACAGAGATAGGCCACAGTCAATGTGTGGTCACCTTCTGAGGAGATCAAGCAACCTCAACAGCTATGTAATTAGCAGAGTTTGTGGTAAAGAAAAAAAATTCCAAACTCAGCTATGTTCTGGCAACCTCTGCCGAAAAGATGCAGGATGGGGGCCTGGGTATCAATTATTTGTGATTAATATTTATATTAAAATGTTTGAACAGATTGGGAAGATGTCTCATGATCGGTGCAACTGGACTCAGAGAGCCTGTGTTCCCTGGAGGGAATGTTATTGAAGGGACACTAGGGAACTAGGGAATAAGTGTGAGCAATTGAGCTGGAAGCAATGAAGCAGCCACAGGAGAGAGCTGTGCACAGGGTATAATGCAGTCCCACTTGGTCAACTTAACCTGCATGGAGTTTCACTCTTTGCCAATGAAACAGGCCCCTGTAACGGTCCCGGCCCCTACCTCGGGGAGTGGGGTCGTTATCTTTCACTGCTTAGTCTCTCGGGTGGTTTCCCAGTATCCGACCGGGGCCCTCTCCAGGTCCCAGCCCAGGACCCTAAGGGAGTGCGTCTGAGACGCGCTGCCCGACCGGGGGGGCTACGGCCGCAACGCACCGGTCCCTGGGGGTTTCCTTCCCCGTCCTGGGCTGCTTCCTCCACCCTCTCAGGTCTGCAGGTCCTAGTCTGGTTCAGCGGGGTCTCGAGGGTGACTCACCCACTCCAGTCCCAGGACGCTCGATTGTCTGTCTTGGTCCGTGCAATGGTCCTGCCGCCCCGCCGCCGTCCGGCGTGAGTCTCTGCGCCCCGGCTCGCCGGGGCTCCGTCCTTTTTCCCCTCTCCTCTGCGTCCTGGCCGCCCGGCTTTTAAACCCGATGCCCCTGCTCAGGGACGCCGGCACCTACGCACTGGGGGAGGGGCTGGGCACGTGTGTGGGTGGCCCCTCCGGGCGAAGACTCCTGCACCTGCGCCGGCCGCCGTCTCTGGCCCGGCGCGTTAGAGACGCTCGGGC